CACCCCACCCAGCCCCAGCCCACAGCCTCCTTGAATGTGGGTCGTGTGGGGCCTTAGTGTCCAGGTCCCCCGGTGGCCCACCGAGTCCTGGTCTGTTCCCCCTTAACTATAGGAAATGCTTACAGATGGGGTAATAATGGAAAGGTCATAAGGTTAAAGAGCCAGCGCCTCACACTCTGAAACAGCAAGACGGACGGGGTGACAGCCACCCGGGCACTGAAGCAGGAGAATCCTTGGGGTGGTCGGTGGAGACTCTCCTGCCCAGCAGTGTCCCTGTGGAAGGAGAGATGGGTTTGTGTCACAGATCCCCAGTTCCCTCACCCACGCTCTGGCAGATGCCCAGCTCTGGGCACAGTGCGCACCGTAGGCACAGCGGAGCAGAGCTGGGGGCGTGCGGGCTCCCGGGAACGGGCCTCCCACCCCCTGGTGGGAGTGCACCTGTGCTGTGGGCTGGCTCACGGCCCCCCCACCTCGGCTCAGACCATGACATGCCAATGTTGTGCGTGCCACGAGGTCCACATCCTCAGCCAGGAGTCCTTTGGCCCGGCCTCTGAGATCAGAGATGCCATGTGAAGAGGACCTTGTGTGCACAGAGAGGCCCAAGGTCCCTGGGCTGCATCTCCGTGCACACAGTGAACACTGCAAAGCCTCAGTCTTCTCCATAAGGGGCTGTGGGCCGGGTGTGGTGGCCACACCTGTGATCCCAGCAGCTCGGGAGGCTGAAGCAGGAGGATCCCAAGTTCAAAGCCAGCCTCAGCAAAAGCTCAGCAACTCAGTGAGACCCTGTCTCCAAATAAAACACAAAATAGGGCTGGGGATATGGCTCCAGTGGTCTAGAGACCCTGAGTTCAATCCCTGGTACTCCCCCCAAAAAGAAGGGGCTACAGTAAGGAATCAGCGTGGCATGCAAAGCCCCACAGGCTAAGTATTGTGGAAGATGGGTCTCTCTCTTTGGATGAAACCCAGGGCCTCAAGTATGCTAAGCAATGCTCTTCCACAGCGACATCCCAGCCACAGGTGAGCCAAGGTTCCCAGGAATCCCCTGCCCAGGAAGGCTGTACCCCCTCCTACTCCAAGAGCACAGATCTGCACCCACTGCCAGCTGATCAGTGAAGCAGGTGTGGCCATGTGCTGCTGCCCAGCAGAAGTTTTAAAAGCTTGGTAGCAGCTTGACCAGCCCTCTGGCTCTTTTCTGTCTGGTGGATGTTCTGTGTTGGGGGTCTGCTGTCAGACTGGACCCCAGAACAAAGAGGGCATGTGAAGCAGTGTGGTGGGGCTGCAGTGGGGGTAGCCAATGTTAAACCTGAATGAAAATAAACCTTGACTATGGCAAACTACTGATATTCAGGGGATGTTTGTTATACAGCATAATCTAGCAAAATCTGACTGATACAGACTCCTAGAAGTAGTGGGCTGCAACCACAGACACATAGGGTAGGTTGAGGGGCTGGACACAGTTGACAAAGAAACAGCTACCAAAGGCATAAAAGATGGCACCCCTGTCAGTCACACAGTCTTACCAAGTCTTACTTGGTAAGACTCTTACCTATAAGAATTGCAAAGCCAACATTATTCTGCTCTTGTGGCTTGCGCTGAAGAATTTGGGAAGCAAACTGTGTAGCATGTCCTGGTGGTATCACTGCAGGTTAGGGACGGAATTGTGTGCCCCCCTCCCCCAAGATTCCTACATTGAAGCCCCAACTCTCAGCTCATCGTAATGTGGCTACATTTGGAGAGAGAACCTTTAAAGAGGTGACTCAAATGAAATACGATCATGTGGGGGGTCTTAGTCCAACGGGCCTGGCGTCCTCATGAGAAGAGGCAACTCAGGCGCACGGTGGAGCAGAGAGGCTGGGCCAGGGCCTCCCAGACAGGAGGTGCGTGAGGCCGAAGCCGCCTGGATAGGGCAGAGAAGGACACTGTGTTCACCAGGCCCCGCAGACAGAGGAGGCTCCCGGGGGAGCCAGGCTGCTCAGGAGAGCAGGCTTCGAGGGCGTCTGCAGGACTGCCAAGTGCGACTTGTCCCCAGGCCCTCTGTGCCCCCAGGACATGGGATGTTCAGAGACACCCTCAGAAGCCCAGGTCCTGCAGGAAGCCGGTGGAGGCCTGCCTCCAGCTGGGAGGAGGGTCTGTGGAGGCTGGGCTGGCGGGAACTCCTCCCCCACTCCCCCCCCCCTTGGCAGGTGTGGCCCTCCCCAGCCCCACCCCGCGGCTCCCCTCCAGACACCTGCAGAAACCTCTCTGCCAGACCAGCACCTCCCCTGCCCCTTCGGCACTTGGTTGCTTCTGCAAAGTGCAAGTTACAAATGACGTTTTAGCAAAACTTCTGACATATTTGCGCTTGGAACGCAGGATGTGATCTTGGAGCGGATGAGAGTTTTAAACTTAACTTGGTCTATGTCCTCGGAAACGCACTGGGGAGAAGCCTAAAGGTGAATTTCAAACTTAGTGTCAAGACTCTTCAAAACAGATGATCCATGGACAGCCCATAAGGAATATTCTAGATCAGGGGGAAATACTAAAACTATGGCACACTCAGCTAGGACTGGATGGCAGGGTGAAGGCCGGGTCAGGGCTGTGACTCTCTGTTAACCGCCCGTGGGGCTGGGGGCTGGCGCAAGGGTGGGGCACCCACAAGCTGCAGGGCCAGGGTCAGGCCCAGGGCTGCATCTCCAGGAAACCCAGGCGCGTCCTTCACGTCCAACGCCGCCGGCTGGAAACAGGCAGACGAGAAGCGAGGTTCTGGGGTTACCTCAGTTGGAGGGCTGCACGTCCCAAAAGCTACCAGGGGACTCAAATGTCCTGTGACAGGCGACACCTCAGACCACCCTGGGCTCAGGCACAAGGCACACCCAGAAAGCCAGTCACCGCCCCCAGGGCCTGTTCTCAGGCTCCCCGTCCAATGTGGCCAAGGAGGTAGCGTGGCCCAGGCGCCACGGAGCACGGAGCGCGGCTGGGAGCCATTCCGAGAGCTGTGGGACCTCGCTCCGGAGCCCCCCCTTTGCCAGGGTGGGCGGCCCTCCCCTGCGCCCCACCACCCAGCTCCTGTGGAGCCAGGCTTCCGGCCAGCCTCTGCCCTACCAGGCTCCAGCACGTGGCCTCCTGTTCCCACCCACCAGTGGCATCCAAACCCGCAGCCTGCGGCTGGGACTCCTCACGGTTCTAGAGGCTGGGAGCCCAGGACGAGGCTCCGCAGGGTCGGCCTCTACAAGTCCCTGCTTGGCCCCGGAGGCCACCTCACTGCATCTTCACAGTCCCGTCCTTTCTCCCGATCAGGACGCCACTGCACCAGGACCCACCCCCAGCTGCCTCGTTTCAGTTCAGCGGCCTCCTCAAGGTCCTCAGGGTGAGGGCTTCGACCCCCGAGTGGGGCACGGATCAGCCCCAACAGTGTCTGAGACCAGAAAACTCTCTCCCCCTCTCCCATTTACAGGTTTCCCATCAAGAGAAGCGAGGGCTGCAGTCATCTGCGGGTTGTTTGT